CATATCTGGTCTTGTTCTTCTGAGCTTCTGCTTGACCGGTGGACATTCTTCATGCAATGGCAAGCGGTGGACCACAATATCAGTGTCTAACCCAGGCATATCTTCATAAGACCAAGCAAAGATGTCACTATACTCTCGAAGCATCTCGATCAGTCTTTGCTTGATACCGCTCTGCAGCGTAGCCCCTATCCGGACATTCCTGACAACTTCTTCGAAACCCAAATTAACGACCTCAATTTCCCCCTGGAATGATTTTCTCTTCTTGTCTTAAAAGTCGAGTCAGCTCTTCTGGTAAGTCGTCGTCCTCAACAATCTCTTCCTCGGCTTGAAATATCGGATGTTCAAAGTTGAAGTGAGTCATAGGGAGTTCTTGATCGGTGTCATCTGAAATATGGATCCTGCAAGGGACATGGTTAAATGCTTCAAATGACATGCAAACAAAGCACACAACCACGTTGTCGTTTTATTGTTAAAATAAAAACAGAAAAACAAGGATCACAAAATTTGCATGAGAAAAACGCCTTTATTTGATGATTAAAACAAAGCATACACATAAACAAGTAGGCCCTGAAATAAAACCACTATGCCCCGGGTAGGACATAGGGTTGTACAATAATCGAAAAACAAGGCATTATTGTTCAGTCGCCACTTGAATAAAGTCTTGAATAGACCAGTTGCATAGGCTTTGTCCTGGCACGCTGGGCTTGATCCAGGAATCTATGTCATAGTCACTATCTCCATCATCACCTTCAGACACATCATTAATCCTTTCAAAATTGACTCCTCCTGGAGTAAACACAATCGGCCCCTCGAACCGTGGCGCGCTCTATGTGAAATTTTGGTTCTTTGTTAAGATCGTTATCTCGCATATCGTCAAATTCCTTTAAACCACGCTTGATTTGTCTTGTAAGACTTTGCTTGTGATTATTTCCCATATGTTAGTTAACATGTTAGGGCTTGTTCTTCCTTGGTTGTCACCATGACCTCATATTATTTTCCTCCTAAATTTGAGTTTAACTGTTATATTTGTTTGTCATCAATGCATATTGTTGTTACATTTGTTATACCTTGAATCTATGACATGCTTACCTTCAAATTGTGATTTGTTTACATGATTGTTCCTTTTGTCTTTGTCAAGATTTGCTTCCATCTTTGTTAAGATATTTGGTTATCGGTCGTAACTATTTGTATTATTTGATCCGTGCCTATTGTGATATGCATGCTTACTTGATTGTAATCTTATTCATCTTGCTTAATTGTTTATTTTCTTTGTTAAGCATTCCTTCCCCAAGTGATGGAACTTTTTAGTTCTCATCCAAGTTGCCTCTCTCTCTCTCTCGCCTTCCAAAGGAAAAGTCTCTCCCTTGACCCTTGTGTCATTGGATAGTTCATTACCCTCCCTTGACTTTGTAAAGTCATCTTAAACCCTAGCTTAGTCAAGTTAGAATACACAAGCCATTAGACTTTGCTTTAAGTCTAGAAAACCCACCTTCACTAGGAGTGTTCTTCAACTAGAACCCTAGGATAGAGTTTGTAAAATCTATGTAAGAATCATGGTAATGATTACTTACTCCCCTCTTGAGTATTATAACATAGATCTAGAGAGTTTTCTTAAACTATATACAAGCATTGTTATGTTTGTTTCCCCATGAACCTTGATCATAATCAAGTGTTTTTCATCCCTAGTGAGGTGAACTACGATTGCTCTGACTCTATCCTAGTTAGGATATGTAGGCAGAGGACGCGATGTCTTTGCGAGCAAACTTAGTAACTATCTTTAGGTTTTAACCTTCATCTTTTACCCAATCCCAAACCTTAGCAAACATTTACCAACATAGCATGCAAATAAACAAAAGGTTCCTGTAGGGTACTACAGATGTTTAGGATGTGAAATACCTACCCTAGGCATAACCAACCCCCGATCCCCGAATCTCTTAGCGTTGTTTTTACATCGCGAAAAGGGTTTTTTCTTTCTTTAGACCTTTCCTTTGGATAAATTAAAGTCCGGTTGTAATTTAAGAATTAAAGATTCAAGTTAATCAATAGCTTGGCATCACGATTCTCACTGCAACAACTTCAAAGTGTTATTCGTTCGTTCTTGAGCAAGTTTGGGAATATTGTGAGAATGGGAAAGGGCGGCTTTCCGTTTACTTTCCAGAAATGGAAGAAATCTATTCCAGTATCGCAGAGAACATTATGTCTTGTAATTTGAAAGTACCTGCAGAGATTTATATTGAAACCCTCCACGTATGGGTGGAGGAGATAAAGGAGAACCCTGATCCCCTAAAATCCCTCATTAGGGAACACTTGTAAGATGAGTCTGCCGCTTTCTTTCATAACAGAGCCGGCGGTTGACATAGAAGTCTCTCACATGTAAGGAGATGCATTTCTGGTATAGGTAGTACTGGACAAGCTCTGATGGAATATATCTTTCTTATTTCTTCCTTTTTTCCCATGACGACTAGGAACGGGAAAATAAAAAATTTCACTTCAAATTTCGGACCTTAACATCCTGCTGCTCATGGTGTTTCACGATCAGTATTGGATCACTCTAGTGCGGCACGAAGCCGCTTATGTCGAGTCGGCTCTTATGCCACTAGCTATGCCCTTCTTGGTCCCCCGGCATGATGGAGGTCCTGTAACACATCATGAGCACCGAGCTAAGGGGCAGTTGAGCAACTCAAGCAAACCGCCCTGCCTTACTACAATATAAGGACAGAAGGGAGAAGGTTGTGAAGGTGGCCTCGTTATCTACACCTCCGGTCAGACGAATGGAGGACCGGCCAACCCAGGTTTTCATGAGTGTTGGCGGGTCCTAGAGTGCCTGTCAAGGGCGCTAGCGCATACCCCGGGGTAATGATCACCACCTGCACTTCACATCTCGGCACAATGTAACATGTAACCCGCCTACTGTCTAATTCAACTACATTTGTTCTTGTAATCCATACCCTAATAGAATGCAGGAGCGAAGGGGTAACCCACCCATACAACCAACACAAAGGATGGCACTACTGGCAAAGACCGTCCAGCGAAAATGCCACAGGCGCAAAGCGTGGTAGGCCTGTGCCGGAGGAGCCTATCATAGGTAGGAAAGGGAGCCAGGATGGTGGAAGAGCTAGGGGGCTAGGTCATTTGATAGAAATTGAAGGCTTTTCCCCTATTAGAGAAGGCCCTCTGAAGTTAAGGGGAAGTGCATTAATTCTTGGAAAAAGAGGGAGAAAGCCTATAAAAAAATGAACTAAAGTAAATTCAATGAATAGATAGAGCCAACGGTATGACAGACAGTGCAGCCTACACATGAATTAGCTTCTGAGGTCGAGCAGTCTCAATTTCACTACAGGATTTGCGAATGAATGCTGGGCTGGGCCACCTCGAATGGCGTGAGCCGTATGCAGGGAGACCCGCATGTACGGTTTTTAGGGGGATCTGGTTGAAAGACCGAACGATGCCTATTCGACTAGAAGGACTGAGAAATTAATAGAGTGAAAAACTTATCTTCAAGCTTTACCTTATTCTGATCTTTTAGAGGCCGACCGCAGAGTCACCGAATGGAGTCCTCCGTTTCTTTCAGAGGTGCTGACCCGCAGTGAGGCCGAGATGACTAAGTGACATATTGAATATGGAAACGACAACAACATGTTGTAGAAGGATATAACAGATGGATCCAACGATCTGCTAAGACTAACGTATCTACAACTCCATCCCTAAGCGACAATCAAACGGAGGCGTGAATGCAAGATGCCAGCGGAATGATCGGTCAGACAGAGGCTAGGGCTGCTTCCTTCCCACCGCGTCCTTCCTTGTGTGTCAGAGATATAAAGCGAGTGCACCAGAAAAGAACACGAACTGGGTCGATCTATTCTATGGAGAAGCATCCAAAGCATAAATGCATACTCACACAATCTTTGCCGATATATAGGAGCATTCGGTGGAACTGGTGAACTACACTTGCTTCTGGATAAATGTATGGGACAGAGGGCTCGTGGTACTTGCTGCCCACCTTGCCTCCTCTGCTTTGTGAACCGTGTGAACAAAGAGTGGGAAGAAGGGAAGGAGGTCGTTATACGGAGTCACACACTTACTTGAGAAGTGGGGAAGACTAGGGAATGGGTTGAGTAAACTCCCTTGGGGCTGGAAAAATAACAGATGAAGCTTTACTTAGATATGGTTTTGATTGGTTTTTTTCTTAGTGATTGGAAAGGAGGGCGCCTAGGTATGTTACAAAAAGGGAAGGAAGAGGTAGTACTTTGAATGGTGAAATGAAGGGCTAAATAGCGCCAGTGATTCTCTGAGCCGGTCTAGATTTCCAACGCCTCGGGAAATTGGTCGAGATAGATGACATCACCCTTTTGCTCTCTTCCTTACGGGGAGGGAAATATTATCTTATGGCCTTCACCTCCCGCCCGACCCAGACATAGAACCCAGCCCTCCCTATGATCCATTAGTTTCTGAAGCAGGGGGGATCCTGAGCTAAGCCTCTCGTCTATTGCATAACCTAAAAAAGCTATAAGCAAAGTACCGAAGGTGCGCTCCGCCCGATGACTCAGAAAGAAATGGGTTTGCGCTTTGAAGTGATGATTTTGCAAAGAGGGAAGTATGGCTTCTATTGAAAGGCTTTCCCTTCCTCAAAAGGCGACCAACTTTTAATACTGTTACGTTACGCTGACATTTTTCCAATATCATTGAATAACATGGCCTTCCTGGGGCTAAGGTCACTTAAGTGGGATAGCCGTGTTATGGGTGACATTATTTCTCGGTTTAGAGAGCACTTGTATATGTGATGCAAGTGAATGTGTACGAAAAAGTTGTATTTAGGGTGAGTTCTTCGTTCCGTCGTCGAATCTATCTATGTTTCTACGAAGGCCCAAGAACACACTCATTCTTCAGTCGTAGAGAGACTTTTAAATTGTGAGGTACCATTACGAGCTCAATATATACGAGTGTTATTCCGTGAAATAACTTGAATTTCAAATCATTCACTTGCTTTAACTACTCATGCTATGGATGTGGGAGCATCGACTCTATCCCTATGGGATTTTGAGGAGCGGGAGACATTGTTGGAATTCTATGAAAGAGTATCGGGAGCCAGGATGCATGCCAGTTTCATACGACCAGGTGGAGTGGCACAAGATCTGCCTCTTGGCTTATGTAGAGATATTGATTCCTTCACACAACAATTTGGTTCTTGTATCGACGAATTAGAAAACATTTCAACTAACAACTGTATATGGAAACAATAAACAATGGATATTAGTACTGTCACTGCACAACAAGCAAACGATTGGAGATTCTGTGGTGTAATGTTAAGAGGTCATGTGACATGAAGACATTGATAGCAATATGGGGGGAGTTCCCATCAGGAAACAACGGATTTGCCTGACCCTACTTAAGCATGCATATTCTATCAGTGAAGACTTGGTGTGAAGCCTTTGATGTTAGGTTAGAAGAGCAAAAGGCCTGAGGCTTGGGTGAGTTGAGAGGGGACAGCGTAAGTGAGTGAATGTGTGTAAGACCAATCAAACATGACTGTTCTAGGCGGGGCGGGCCACCCACCTTCGAATGGTGTCAGTTCTATTGAACGTGAATGGATTCGCCTCTGGCCTCGGGGTACGTCGGAACCACATGAGTTCACAGGGGTGGAGCACAGTCCACCAAAATTGGCATAGGTTAGGTGTTATTGATGGAACATGGTAAGCCTATCTTTATACATATGTGTTAGTTCCATGATTCTATGATATAGAATTGCCCATGGTTCTATGATTGGCTAAAGTTTGGTAAAACATGATTCTGCACTGATGTTAAGCAGGATGTTATAACATCTCTATCTGCTGTGGTGACAGAACTACTGTGGAGTGTTTTAATGTGAATGTCATACTGAATGTCGTGACATCCATCTACTGTCATGACAGAACTGCTGTCATGTGTTTTTAATCATAATGTCATGACCAATGTCATGGCATCGCTGTCTGATACATCAGGAGTTGTGGTAACAGAACTATTGTCATGTGTTTTAAATAGGATTTCATTACCAATGTCATGACATCGCTGTCTGGTGCAGCAGGAGCAGATGACATAACTGCTGTCATGTGTTTTAAACAGGATGTCATTACCAATGTCATGACATCATTGTCTGGTGCAGCAGGAGCTAGCAGGAGCTGATGACAAAATTGTTGTCATGGATGTCATACTGAATGTCATGACATCGCTGTCTGGTACAGCAGGTGCTGCTGTTTTATCACTTGACATAAGTGCTTTGGATATACCTCATCAGTATGTGCAGGCCAAAGTGATTCATTAGGAACAAAGTGAAAATTTAATTGGTGTTCAAAAAAAGGATCTTTGAGACTTTTTAGGAAACTATAATATGCTTATTTCTACTGTTGTGAAGAAGATTCTGCAGGAGTGTTCAGCAGGGGGAGTTTGGTCAGCTAAGAGTCAAGTAAGTTGGATGTCATGACTGGATATTGTAACATTGATCGTATGATATCAGGCGCACAGTTTTAGTTTTCTAGTATTTTACTTGAGATATCTCAGGCTAGAATTCAGGAAACCTGTTATGGCTCCTTAGTTATCTCAGGCGAGATTCTAGTCAAGGCTGGACATAACATGAAGCAGCTGTGACCTAATTTGACAACACCTTGAATTATGGAAAGTGGTTTAACTTGGTTAAACCTAAAGTTTGTTACTTGTGACCAGCCCAAGCCTAGTCTGCATTTCTATAAAAGGAGGAGCAGAAGCAAGGAAAAAGTACGCACTCACAACAAGAAAAACTTGAGTGTAGAATTAAGGTTTAGGATTTTGAGAGTCCATTGTGTGTGACCTGGTAAGTCACCCTTTGTATCTTTGGATACATTGTGGTAGACATGTTTGTGACTAAAGAACTTTGCTCTTCACGTGTGTCTAGGAGTCTTAGGATTCCTTGTGTGCCAAGCAATTGTATGCTATATAATTGCTTTGGTTATTGTGTATGAACTGTTGTTTTCATTGTGTCACTAAAAGCTTTTAAGCAAGAGTGTATTGTCCTTGATTAATGTTGTTAAGCAAAATCAAGTATTGTGACTTTAAAGAGTGTCTTCTAAAGTCTGTTTTTGTATTGAATTGTTTATCACTGCGGTGATTGAGGGGGAGTGAGCGGGGTCTCTTGTCTAGTGGATTCTAGGCAGAAATGTCATTGGGTAGAGATTAAGTGAGGGGTTGTAAATGGGGGAGTTTAGCTCTGAATTAATTTTGCTAATAGTGAATTTCCTTCCTGGCTTGGTAGCCCCCAGATGTAGGTGAGGTTGCGCTGAACTGGGTTAACAATTCATTGTGTTATTTATCTTTCAACATTTTTAATTCTGCACAATTTAAATGGTTAGATAAATAGTCTGTCAGACTGTTGATGTTACAACAGAAGTCATGACATTGGTCATGACATTGGTACAATTTAAAGAAATTAAAATTGGTCATGTTATGTCCTCGTCCTTGTTTCAGTAGAGATCAATGTTCTTGGGACATATGAGATCTACATACCAGAATTTCAATTGGTATAAGAGCTGGCATCCTGTCTGTTCTGGATGAGATCTTGGGAGATACTTTATGGTGGTTTAAACAAGGAGAAGCTACAGCTGAGTTGCCGATCTTTCTAAACATTTGAGTTGCTGCTTATGAAGTTTAGGAGGAGGTTGCCAAGGATTCTGTGTATCTGCTGCTGTGCCCTCTAATATAAGAGCTTCTATGATATGCTGAAGGGTTTGCCAAAGGAGGAGTGGCTACTCCTGTATGATGACCTATAAGATGTTCTAACATCTTATTTAGGGCATGTTAAAGATGTTCTTTTGGTGGTTCTGCTGCATATTTTTCTAATGAAAGAACTCTGGTAGCCCTGAGAGAAGATTGGCCTATATACAGTTTGATGCATGGTTGTGGCAGTTGTGTAGATGGTTGGTAAATGGTGTTTGTAGCTATGTGTTTGGGATGTTCTGCTGTGTATTACAAAGGTTGTTTTAGAAAGGATAGTGGGAGGTGATTTTTTTTCACCACTCATGACTTGCAAAGGCTCTTTCAACAGAGCAAGTCATAGGCAGGTTGAGTCAAGGGTGTCAGCCTTGATGTTTCAGCCTTGTTATTCCTGAAGTTGTGTGGATTTAAGATCAATTGCTATTTGTGGACTACACACATATTTAATTGATTATCCATGAAGTTCAGAGAAGGATCAGTTACAAGGATTTAAGATTCATTGCTATTTGAGATATTCTCAAATATTTAATGGATTATCCTTAGTTGATGATCAAGTTGTCTCATCAGTTGTTGCTCAAGCATCAAACCTCAGATCTGCTTTGTCTGCTTCAAGGATCTGATGTTCAACCAGATGTTAAGATATTCCATCATCAGATTGTACAGAAGTCTATTGAAGAAGATATAGCAGATAATCTTGTTACCATACTCTTGTGTGGTAGGATCTGACTTTATTCTAGTAAGTTTCCTGGCAAGAAACTAAGACTAGAATGTAGTGTTGGTGGAAGTGCAGATGAAGACATTTTCCTTGGATTAGTTTATTGGAGTGCAGCAGGTATGTTCTACTCACTACTAGAAGTATCTGATATTTATCTAGAAAGTTTCCTGGCAAGAAACTTGTCTAGAATATGGTGTTGGTGATTGCACTGCATGGGTCAGTTTATTTCTGATCTAAGTACATAAGAGCATGTGACCTTGCTCATCTTGGAGGTCAAGGATAAGTGCCAGTTATCTCTGACTTTCTGAAGAAGTCTCTACTTAAGGAAAGTGGGATTCCTTCTGTAAAGATCTCTTGTGACTAATCTTCTCTAAAGAATCAAGCTTTGGCATGTTTGGTTTCTCTAAAGAGGAGTTTTATGAAGCAAATGCACTTCAAAGGGAGTTGTTGGGGTACAAGAAAGCAGAATACAGGCTGCCTACTCAAACCTGATATCAGTAATCAAGTCTGTGTGAACATGGAACTCTTGATGAGGTTCTTCTAAATGGCATAATGAAGGACTGAATTCACCAGCAGGATATCTGATCAGATGTTGTGACATCAAGCAGAAACTTCAGCTTGCAGGAGCTGTGAGAAGGAGTAGAAGTTACATGTCCAAGTCTTGGTGTATCCAAGTTGCCTTGCTATGGAGCATGTAGAAGATCAAGGTTGCTTGGTGGAGCTCTGAAGAAAGATGACATTAACCAAACAGTGGCATTTGGTTGGTCTCTAATGTGACTTCAGGCAGTGTGCTTGAAACTTATTACTCTTGTGCAGAAGGATAGTTGTTTGAAGACCAAAGAAGGTTCTGATTCTATTCATATATTGGAGCTTGTGGTAGAAGCCCTAAGTTGCTTATGGAAGATTACCTTCTTTTGGAAATGTTTTTGATCAAGCTGGTGGAGCTGTGTTCTCTGAAGATCTTCATTTGGATTACTAGGCAGTAGTAAGTCCAGTTGTGGGCATATCAAGAACCATTGGATGTTGTGTCTGTGAGATGTATCATCTGGTTTATTTGGAGAAGGACTTGAAGATCTGGTGTGGAACTAGTGAATCACATCTTGACTAAGAAGTACTATATCTTGTCATACGAGAGAATGATGAGGTAAAAGGATTGTCTTGGAGTATGATGTGAAGGTATTGTACGAGGTTGGATCCTTGGTTGATTGTGGAAGTGATCATGGCACTAGTTGACTCATAAGTGTTCTAACCTATCATACGGGAGAATGATGAGGTAAAGAATGTCTTGGAGTATGGGATGTCCATCTTAGGCTGAGGTCAAAATACTTGTGGAAAAAGAGTTCTTTTGCTGCAAGTAACTCTAGAAAGAAGTGGATCTGGTTTGTGCCTTCTTGCTGTATGAGCATGAGGTGAGTCTTGAGATATAATATGGTGATCTTAGAGCATCGTTTATCAAAGATAGAGGGAGAGCTTCTGGTTGATGGGTGTACTATTTGCTTATGGTCCAAGCAGTTAGTGAATGCGTTCAGCAGGTGTGTTGAACAGCGAGTGAGCTCTTGACGACATGAAGATGAGTGTTATGTTTTCCATCCACGTTCTTCTAAACGAGCACTGGTTATCCTTGATATGGGGAGTTATACTTTTATCAAGGATGTCGTGCTGCAAGAGTGTAGTTATGTATCAAGATTGTTTGTGGTTTCAAACAGTTTGGGATTTTATGAAGATGGAATGTCAGACCAAATGTTGTGACATTATGTTACTACTCTAAGCTCATGGTGAACATGATAGTGTATTCCTTTTGGGTCT